GATTAGTGTCCTCATAAAAGATGCCCCCAAAAGCTTTCTTGCCATCTTTCTGACAATGTGAGGATACAAGATGATGGCAGTCTACAACCTGGAAGAGGGCCTTCCTCTGAACCCAACCATGCTGCCACCCTGATCTTGAAGACTTCCTTCCTCCAGAACTGTGAGAAATAAATTTCTGTTGTTTTTAAGCCACCTAGTCTATGTTAACTTGTTGTAACTGTCAGAACTAAGACATCCAGTTACCCTGACCCTCTCTTAGCTCCATAAATAGCCTCACAAATGCTATTTTATCTGTTGAAAATGCCCTCTCGCTCTTTATCCCTGAACCCTGGCTAAGGGAGTTCATGCGTATCAGCTTACAGATTATTTCTTTAGGGAAGAGTCCATCCTCCCATAGAATAGATCAGCTTCCTCTGTATATACTTCAAGAGAACCATATTCCTTCACTTCAGAGTACTTATGTCAGTTTTAATGTGACATTTGTTCATGTGATTATTTGTTTTAATGCCTGTCTCCCCCTAGCAGCCCATTGGTTCCATGACAGAAGATAAGGATCTGTGTTTGCCCAGAGCTGAACATCTACTGGCAATGGGATACTCTGTAGATAGTAGGTGCTCAATAAATATTTGTGGCATGGCTCTATTAATCACCATCCCGGCTTACAACAAAGGGCTCTGGTGATGACATCAAGCCATGTACCATGAAGAGTCTATGCACATTTTTACTACAAGGACAATATTTTTGCCTCAGTTACAAGATTTATCAAAAACCACCACAGGTTTTCTGTCTCTCTTTTCTAATACCAGAACAAATGGCATGTGGTGGTGTGATATGCTCAGTATTTATGTGTTTATGAACAGGCTCTCCACCACCTTGTTGCACAGAGAACTGGAGGCAGGAGTGGAGTCTGTTTGGCTGGTGTTTGTTTTTCAGATATTCAGAAAGAGGACTGTGCCATAAGCACAAACAGAAGTTTGAAGATGGGTTGGACGAGAATGTACCGCTTTGTGCCACTGGTGAGGAAGACATCTCCATAGAGGTGACCCTGCATTCTCTTGAAAGAGAGTTGTTTTAACAAGTTAAGTTTTTTACTCTCACTGCTTCAAAGAAAGACTTTTAAAATCAACATGTGGGAACAACTGTTTAAACTACCCTACTGATCTATAAAATACCATTAGGAAAGAGAACATGAAGCTCTCATATTGAAAAATGCCATTTATGTTAAATCTAATAGAGCTTATGTGACTTTTATAAATCTCTCCTTTATTTAGGGAGATTATTCATTCATATTTCATCGAAAATATTTACTGAGTGGTCCCCATATGCAGGCAGTGTTCTAGGTTTGAGGGATCTATAGCAAAGAACAAAGAACACAAAAATCCTTTTCTTTGTGGAACTTGCATTCCAGCAGGAGACAAACCATAAACACAATAAAGTATAGAATATGTAAGATATGAGCATCAGGAAGAAGTAAAAATAAAGCATGGGCAAAGGGAGTGGAATATTGGAGGAGAGGCGATTATATTTTAGACTGAATGGATAGAGAAGACCTCTTTAAGAATATGACTTTCAACTTCATTCTAATTCAATAGGAAATATAAAGACTTATGTTGCTTCTGGCTAAGGGAACCCTTAGTCATGTTACTCCATCCCGTGACTTTGCAAAAACCCTTCTGTCCAGCTGGAACACTTCTCGCCACCCCCCCACCCCC